GATATTTTTTCGTCACTTCGCATTCGCTCAAAATTTAAGGGACAAAGCATGTAATTGATATTTGTAGAACATTTATTGGGGATTCAATTGCATTTTTTAAAAATCAAGTTCAAACTTTTATATATATATATTTGTTTTGATAGCTTTACTGCGAAATTTCTATAATTTCTCCTTTAAATGCGTCTTTGTAATACAATGCTGTATATAGATATTCTTTCATTTGAATTTCAGGAATATTCGTTTTTATAGTTCAATGTGGTGATTTTATTATTTGAATTTATGGGTTTATTTTTGTTTTCTAAGTGGAAATCAAAATTGTTGACCTCGAATTTTGTACCTTCAACTTGGACAACAGATCATAAGGTCTTCCACATCCACGTAAGCTCAATTTCTGCACATTTAGACAAACTGTTATTCACATGTGACTTCCTCCGATGATTGTGGAGTTAGTCGCGCTCGCTCCAACGGTCAAGTCAATTGAAGTAGTAGGTATGGATGTGAGAGGCGTTTTAGACACGAGTCTCCAAATAAAAAAGGGGGGGTCCGTTTTGGGGAAAATTGTGATAATAACAATATGGATAACAAAGTTGTAGTTTGAGAGTTTAAACTTACATTGCCATGTGATGGAAGTATACGTGGCTTCTTTAACACGGTTGAGGCTTCTTGTCAATTAGATCAATAAATCATAAGCATTTAAAGCCAATACCATTTTATTGCCCACAATTTTCAGAATGGCTTAGACTTGACCGAATGGTTGGATAGTACGACGGTAACAGTGAATTGTCACATCAATCACTTATTAAAAATTGCATAAAGGATCTCTTGTCGAGTCCTCCTTCCATCCTCTCCTGCCATGAGGGTTCGATTCTGTGTAAGGGGTCAACTCAGCCAAATGGATTCGACTTTACATACAAGTTCAACCTCTTCATGGGGGTTTAATAAAATTGTCTCTTGAGAAGAGTAACGTGGAGTGCGAGACCAGGTCCGACTGCCACATAGGATCTTCTGGGACCTCATCAAACGAGGTGTAATAAAAATCTTCAAGATGTTATATGTTCTAGAGTCTTCTACATATACTAGTGTATTTCATTTGCATTTTCGAAATTGTTTAAAATTTAGGCTATATTATAATGCAAGAGTATATGCTGTATTTTATTTACACTTTTTTGCATTGGTTGTGAAGTTTTTTTTTCTAACATTTATATTTGGCTTCATTGTAAATTATGTTGTAGAGTATCTGTAAGGTAGGTAGCGTGAAAATTAGAAATTAATTTGAAATTTGAAAAGTTGTAATCATTTCGATTTTTTCTATGACTTCCCTCACGAATGAAAATCCCGTGATTGCCTCTTGTATAAAAGACAATTCTCAAATATGGAATTTTTACATGGTCAATACTAAAAAAAAAAAAATTATGACTCGAAGCCCTACACTAAGTTGTTGCAGTCAATTTCAAGAATATACTTATATATAGATTACTTTATAAATAAATAAGTTTTGACAAATATTCTTTTTATTGTCAATATCGAATCTAGAGTACATTATTTATTTTGATAATAATATTTTTTTATGGTCAAAATAAGTAACTTTTTTATAAGTATGAATAAGTAATATATGAAAACATACGTAGAAACAAAAGAATTAATTACTTTTAAATTTAGCAAAATGTACTGTGTCTCTAACAATTAAAATAAGTAATTTACTTCTAGATCTAATCAATACAAATTATCTATAATAAAATTGAATTAATAATTATAAGTAAATTTAGTCAAACATGCATTAAATAAATTATCTAATTTGATAATCAAATATTCACGTTTCATGAATGTCATGAAAAGAGTAATTAATAATCGTAGCGTTTATAATACAATTTGAATAATTGAGCATTGGACTTGGGTTGTGATTCAAATTAGAGCTGGACTAATGCTAATACTTGGGCCGTAATTCTACAATTTCTGCTTAATGTTTTTATAGGCTGAGGGACAATGCTTTTGGGCCAAAATTCAAAAATTCTACTTGGGAAATTACAAAAAATCAGGTGTTTAAAGATTGGTTTTTAAAAATCAGATCTACAATTTATTTATTCAAAAATCAGGTACTATATTAAAACTCTAATTCATAACATAATTTATCTCTCATCCCTTCCCTTCCCTTCCCCTCCCTCTCTCTCTCTCTCTCCTCCATCCTCTTCCCTTCTCCCTCCATCCCCTACCCATCTCTCCCTCGCCTCTCTCTGCGTTCGACACTGCTGCTACTGTTAGTGGCAGCTTCGCGACGTCGTTCGCACAGCAGAGTCGACGCTGTCGCGAACTGCAGCAACATCACGATGTGACGCTACGGTCGTTCGCAGCGTCGCGACACTGCCGACGTGAAAGGCGGCGTGGTGGTGTTTTGTGCACAGCAACGTGGTTGGTGGTAGTGTTGATAGTCATCCGGCAGCGGTGGTGGTGTTTTATGTGGTTGGATGCGACGGCGGTGGTGGTGTGTTGTGTGGTTGGACGTGGTGGTGGTAGTGTTTTGTGTGGTGGTGGTGGTGTTTTGTGTGCTAGTAGTGGTGGTTGTTGCAATGGTGGTGTTTGTACTGGTTGTCATGAGGCCGAGGCGGTGAGGGTGGTCAAAAGTGGCTGAAGTGGTAGTGCCAGTGGTATGTGACCAATTATTTGGTTATCTGTGACCAAGTATTTAACTGTGACCTAAAAATTTGACAATATGTGACTGAAAAATAATTTGTGACCAACAAATTTGAAAATATGTGACCAATGAAATTAACTGTGACCTANTTTGAGTAGATGAGTGTAGAATATTTAATTGTGAAAAACCATTTCAATATAAATGAAAAATTTTGGTTGAAAGTTGGACAATAAATAAGAGGAATAAATGGGAAAGAATTGGAAAAACTATTCCAATTCCACATAGGTTGCAAACACAACTTTGGAACACTTAATAAACTTCAAGTTTGGAAATGAATTTGGGTCCCAAGGGATACCAATAGTCTTTGAAATGGTGGAGTCTTAGACAAAGTTTAGACTAATCCAAGGCCCCGCGCGCGCCGCCGCCGTCCTACCAGCTCAACACAGCACGAGCTCGGGCTCGGGTCTCAGGTCCCAGGTCGTTGGCCTGGGCTTGGACTTGGGCCGGGCCTGTGTCAATATTAATTTTTTAGATAAAATTTATTTAAATTTTTTATCCGAATTCAATTAATTCCCTCTCTTTAACTGCCCCATCAGTTTGCAAAAATCGTGCGTTAAGTGGGCGTGAGTGGTGAGTTGTATGGAAACTGCTCATCCTTAACTCTCTCATCTATTTAAATGGTCCTTAGGCTTTCATCGTAAACATACAGAAAAATACACGAATTCATTCTGTATACATACTCTTCTTTCATTGTTCTTGTCTGTATTAGTCTACAGAAAGTACTTCCGATTCTGGTTTGTTGCCTTGCAGTCGAAGTCCTGCTTCTGCAAGTGTCTGATCGTTGTATCTTGGGATACGCTTTACCACATACCGTAAGCACCGTGCGACGGGGTAAAAACGTTTTAAGGACAAAGAGCCTAGTTCTCGCCTCGATCATCCCTATTTCGAATTCAACTCGTGTTTATGCATTTTGTTCTTACTGTTTTGCAATTCTGAAAATTTTATTCTATGCATGTAAAGTAGACAACAGTATTTAACTGTGATCTAAAAATTTGACAATATGTGACTGAAAAATAATTCGTGACCAATAAATTTGAAAATATGTGACCAGTGAAATTAACTGTGACCTATAATTTTTTGAATTTATGACCTCGAAACACATTGACTAATTAATTTGATAATATGTGACCAATAAATAAATTGTGACTTATAATTATGTATATGTGACCATTAATTGTATAACTGTGACCTAATTAATAAATATTTTTAATTAATTACATAATACCTGAGTTTTGAATTGTTAAACTATCTATTTGACTTTTGAATTGGTGTAAATTATACACCTGAAATATGAATTTTTTCCATTCTACTTAATGTTTTTATATGTGCTAGCCCAGCACTACCCCCACTACCTCTCCGCCCATGCTTAGACATGAAATCCTATTATTACAAATACAATATGAGATATTGTAGTAAAAAGAATGCTGAAAATGAAAGTGAATTATGAAGAAATTTGGTTATCAAAGAATGCCTATAATTATAGACTAGAATATATATTTAAAAAGGATAAGAACTGGCAAATAACCATCTCTCATTGATAAATCAATGGTAGCATGCATGGTTGAAAAAGCCATGCACCTTTACTCTAGGCGAGTCAAGTAGGCTCGAGTCATTCGACACAACTTGTGCGAGCGGCTTGCACAAGCGAAATACTGCACAGCTTGTGCCCATAGATCGCCAATGAGTCGACGAGGCCACTTCCCACGCCTATAATCAATTCACATTCCATTAAAACCTCCCTCTATTGGCTCCAAAACATGGTTATTCGTTGTTGGGATTATTTGAGTCACTTGTTCAAGATAAAAAAATAAAATAAAGAGAAAAATTAAAATAATTTTAAAATATATTAAAACTTATTTGTCTAACAATCCCTAAATTAATCTCAAGTACTTATTTCTTTGCCATTTTTCACCTCATTTTTAGAAGAAATGTTACCGTTTATGGGCCATACTAGATCCTTTTTTGACTTTAATCTCACAACTTTCATAACTTTCATTTTGTGACGGCTATATTTCTTCTAATAATGAAGAAAAACTGGCGCCTGAAGGTAAGGTTAATCTTGAAAATCAAGTGAAATTTATATTTGCTTTATATTTTATTTATTTCTCAATTATATCATTATTCCAATCAAAATATCTTACTCATCAAGTCCACGAGTCTTGATGAACTGTTATAAAAATTAAAGATCAAATAAAATAATATGAAATTAGACAATCCCGTTATTTTCCAAACGTTATTTTGCGTTGCACAGTACAATACCTATATAACAATTATAGTCCTGTCCTGTGGCTGTGTCGATTTAAAAACTAAATCAAGATCCTTGAACCCCAGTTTCTTGCTGCTCTTTAGTCTTCTCCTTCACATCTCTAGCCTTATTTGCAATTCTCATTCTAGCATAATCCACCTGATCCGACCCCGGTAGATGTTTTCCGGCTACATAATTGTATATCCACAATAACGCCGCCACCCCACAGCCACCGGTGAACAAGAATCCAGCAGTGACCAAGACCAGAACAATTCCGGCTGGGATAAGAATTGGACTGAACAGAAGCAGAACCGGGGTGGCGATAATCAGGGCGATCACCGTCCCGGTTAAGGTTAAACCGGATAAACCGAGCAAAACACCTCCGATTGTCGCCGCAGTTAAGAATCTTATGGCTTGGCCTGAATTGGGGGCTGAGCCTTCGAGTCTTTGGGACATTAGTTTTTGTTGATCAGACATGGTGATGGACGGCTAGGATTCAAAGGTGGATTCTGTAATGATTTGAGAAATTTATGCTGGCAAGACGAATCAAATGTGTATATATATATGCATGATGAAGTGAGAGTGGGGTGGACACGTGGTGGCATGGAAGACGTGATAACATTGAGAAACGTGAGGGTGGTGATGAAGAACGGTGTGTCGTGTGGAGCTTTGGGGTGGCATGGTAACTGTGGGAGGCAGAGGATTAGCCGTGTGGCAGTAGAATGGGAGATTTTCAAAAAATACCCTAGTTAACAATAGTACCGGGCTCTATTGTTAAAACTACTATTTTGCCCTTACTTTCTATATTTGTAAAAATATCCGGTATTTTTAGTTGTTAGGTCGTTCAGGATTGTATCTTACAATTCTTTCGTTTGGATCGTATATTCTTAGAACTAATCTTGGGAAAGTTCAATATTTTCTTCTAACCAAATCAAGTATTGTTGTTACTCGAATTGGTGATATCTTATAGTTCTTAAGATCTTATTCCACTTTTTTGTATTATTTTCTCTTTTAAGTTTTTCAAGGAGTCTTCTTATTTCTCTGGATCTTAGTTCACTGGTATTATCTTGAATTTTTCTAAATTTTTCAATATCTTCTCTTTTCTCGTGGTTCATTAAATAAATTAATCGGGATTACTATTTATACGATATTCCTTAAACCGTTCAATTTGTTCTAAATATTCTCTATATTTTTTTAATTTTTCAAAAGCTCTAGGTTGGTCTGTTTTAGTTATATATCCAAAAAAAAATTCCTTCTGAAACTTCTTCTTCTATATCTACGTATTCAGTTATGATATCTTTGATCTTTTTTATTTCTTTACGAGTTTCTACAGAATCAAATCTTATATTATATTTACAAGCATTATTTATATCAAAATATATTTTTTTAAGTTTTTCTTGACTAACAGGAAGTATATCTTCAGATTTTTCAAATATAATTTAAGACAACAATCATTGGAGGTAGATGTGGATGCTTGTGAAGTATTCATAAATATCAATAGTAATTAAAGCATAAACATAGAAAATCATATAAATAACTTACAGTGATCAATTGAAATAACTAGGCTTTCCCTCCAATAGGGCTGTCCGTGGGTCGGTTCGGTTCGGTTCTGAAGATACCCGAACCGACCCAAAACTTTCGGGTATTTAATAAATGGACCCGTCGGGTCCAAATATAATTATGGAACCGTTCGGGTTCGGTTCCGTTCGGTTCGGTTCGGGTCGGTTCGGTTCCGTTCGGTTCCGTACTAT